TGGGGTGGGCGCCCGCGTCCTGGAGCCCCTGTCAGGCCCGATGGGCGGCCTAGCCTCCCGGCGCCTACCTGTGTCTCCATGCGCCGCGCGGCCCGCTGAGGAAGCTGCTGGTGGTCCTCCAATGGCGCCGCACCACAAGCTGCCGGTTCCGCAGCTGCGACTGGAGGTTGGCGAAGCGGACGCTGTCCTCGGCAGCACGCGCCCTGAAGGGCACGCCGATCAGCTCCTGGCGACGAAAGAGGACGATGTTAAAGCTGCCAATTAGCGAAGTAACGCAACAACTCGCCAGCGCCAAAGCAGTTGTAATGTTCATCCCTAGTACCATGGACCTATCCTTCGATTGAATGTCATCATATCAAGCCGCAGTTGTTATTCGACAATTTTCGACAGTTTCATGGTCTCTTACTGAAATGAATTTGACTAGCTTTACCAACAGAATGTTCTTAGAGGATGTAGATGTGCAGGTCGGTCTCGTTCTCGGTGCCTGTCTGTCTCTCTGGCTCTGTTTCTCTCTCTGTCCGGTGTCGTCACGCGGCAGATTGGTCCAGACATCTCTACCGCCACGCGTGCGTGACGCCCCGGGAGAAAACAGTCACATTGCGCCCCGCTACGGCGCGCCGCACACAGCGGTGCCGCCGCGAGCTGACACTGTGTGAGGAGGAAGTCACATCATAACGGAAACCAATTGGGAGTCGAACAATACCCAGAAAGATGGATTCTCGGTTCAATTGAGAAATGCACTCAATCGACCGAAGAGCGTCTTGCACTTGCTTTGAGACTAATTTCACTTGAAGTGAGACGATTCTAATGATATTTATCTCGCAAAAACGACAAAAATAGACTTACGACCATCCTCCGGGGCCATAGCGAGATCCGACCTTTTACGCAAACCCTCTGAAGTACGACCTTATAGTTTTTAGAGGTCAAAATGCACTTGGTACCAAATCTCGCAACGAATGAAACTGGTCTCAAATAAGCAAGTGAACAGTGCTCTTCATTTATTCCCCTCTGGATCTCTCGCGAGAACACTCGAGCTGCGACCAGCCAGGACATCTGGGACCACCCAG